TAAATGCTCGGGTACCAATAGCATAATCCTCTTAAAATTGATTGAATATTTTTCATAGAAAAGTTACAATTTCCATGGAAAAAGTGACATATTCTTTGGAAAATAATGGCTATCAAACAACAAAAGTTGGAAAATAATGACTATCAAACACCAAAAGATGGAAAAAGACAATATTTTCTACGTTGAAAATTAAGTCAATCAAACACATTTAATTGACATTTTCCATGCAAATAATTTCTAGACAATTCAATTGCCTAGAATTTATTTTCTTTCCATGTAAATTTCATGCTTACAATCAAACACACCCTAAGAGTCGAACGAAAGATATGATCGATAATCGAGATTGACATACTTCCATTCTCATAATTGATTGGATCATATTGATAAAAAGATTATAGTTATACGGTAAAAAAAAAAAAAACAGTTTAGCTTGTGACACCATGTGATATTTTTCGTCATATTTATTACTCTGACATATATTTAATGGGTAGATCAAGTCTACTAGGACTGCACAAAAAAACCACAAAACTGCAAATCGAACTGAAACCATTACTTTGAAACCGTTGGTTCGGGTCCACGTGAACCCGCGATTTATTTTCCCTCAAACTGAACCAAACCGTTTCAAAGTGGTTTGGTTTAGGTTTCAATTTCAAAAACCGCATAAAACCGAACTGAACTGTTTTTAATCAAAAAATTAATTTTATTAACTTACAAGTTTTAAAGTTTTCACTTTTTAGAAAAAAAATACCAATTTAGCAATAAAAATTAAGAAATTAATTTTATGAACTTATAAGTTTTAAAGTTTTCACTTTTTAGAAAAAAAAAATACTAATTTAACAATACAAATTACAACTAACCTAATGTAATAATCGTATAAAGTAAATTAAGTTCATCATTGTTGGCCGATGGTTTTATAAGTCTACAACACACGTCCTTACCCGTTATCTAATATAAACTAAAATTAATCCTAAATCATAAGAAAAAAAGCATTTATTTCCAACAATCCAAATCATAATTCAACAAAACTATGACAACAAATCACGCCCACAACTTCAGAAGTCCTAACCTAAACTCTCTTTTCTCAAACATTTGATGATTGCCTGCCACTACTGAATAAAATGTGATTCCCAATAGCAAATCGCTATTCGTCTTTTGCTTGTTATACTGCTAATTTCTACCTGAATTATCTCTTTCTCTCTTCTATGTTGATAAGTCTTAAATTCTCATTCAAGTCTTTTTTCATTGCTCTTTTTTTTATTTATTATTTTTGAACTTATTATGCACTTGTGAGTTGTGATTTGGATTAAAAAAAATGATTGTTTGTGTGCTAGGTGATTAATGAACTTATTTGTGGTTTAAAAAGAATGAAAGATGCTCGTATTGATTGTTTGAAAATGTTATAGTTCCCTAACTAATACTACTACGTTCTACTTTCTTATAATCGTTTGAGAATAAAATTTGTCAATTTCCAATAAACCTGAATTGTATCATTCTTTGTATATGTAAAAACATATCATATTCGGTCCTTATTTTTCATCTCATTGGTAGGACGAATGGAGTTTTAACCAGACTATTATAGCAGAATGTGACTCTATCTTTAC